CGTCTGGAGGAGGGCAGTGACCATCAGGTTGACCCACAGCGCCTGCAGATTGCCCTGCAGCAGGTTGGACAGCAGGTAGACGTTGATCGGGCCGAAGAAGACGATAAAGGCGAGCATGCTCTTCGACACCTTGCGGCGGTTCAGCTCGGCCACGAGGAGGTTAGTGCGAAAGTGGGCCGCCAGGTGGCCGATGAGAAGGTCGACGAAGCGGGGGAGGAGGCATCGATTAGCGACTGTTTGACTGAAAAAGGCTAAATTTTGTGAGTACTTCGAAGCGAGCAGGTCGCAGAGCAGCCAGACAGTGGCCTCCTCGAAGATGGCCAACTTGAGGAGACTTCCATTGAGGAGCATCATACAGGCGCCGTCCACCTCGAGCAGGGCGGTTTGCAACGTTGACAGGCGGAAGAGCTTCGGGGCCCTATCCGGTCCTCGGCGCCCTTCGCCAGCAGGAGACTTAGAAGAAGAAAACGGAGCGTCGCCACCATCGAGTAGGCGTTCAGGGCAATTTGAAGATAACTGAGGCGGAAGATGCTGCTCAGGCACCGGTTGGCGCCCGACTGGTAGATGCGGTGCTGCTTGGCGATTTCACTGCTAAACAGGCGGCAGTTGATGCGGATGGTGAAGTTCAGGGTGAACTTTTCCAGGAGGTTCTTGGCGAGCATGTTTTATTAAATGACGTGGAGTGTGTTTAAATGGGTGAAAAAAGTTAACTTATAAAAGTTCAAAACTAAATTTAAAAAAAAATTAAAGTAGATTTTTTGAAATACTGTGTAACCAGTTGCAGATTCTATAATAATTTAATTTTTAGCATTAAGATTGCCCATTAAATTATTTTTTTGAATAGTTCATTCACAAGTTAAAATTGGTCGGTTTTTGCCGATAGCTTTTAATTACAGCATTTCTCCTAGTTCAAACTTAAGTTACTTAATCTACAATCAATTTAAATAAAAGCAAAGCATACTTTAGGTTTCAGTAAATAAAACATTTAATTTTTATTGTTTGATAATGTTTTCTGTAATAAGTAGGTATGTTTTCAAGTTAACTATGGTAAAATTAAAAAACTTTAAAAAATGTAAAACATTTCATTGTAAAAAACTGTACAAAAATGATCAAATATTTAGGTAAAATTAATTTGTGATTTGCTAATGAAAAAACGTCAATGTTTTTCGTTTTAAAATTTAACGATTAAAATGAACTTAACAAAACAGTACTGTTTTGTTCTTTAATGTAAATGTAAACAGTGTTTTTAATTGTTTTTTTAAATTGTTATTGAATTTAAAAAATTAAAGACGTTTCAAAACCAAATAATGCAACAATTTTATAAAACTGATATCAAAATTAAAAAAAAATAAATTATAAATGTAATGGCAATTTTAAAACAAAATGGCACACAAATATTGAATTTTAACCAATCAAAAAAAGAAATCCGGAATGCATAGCATTTTTTGTAATTGTTAAAAATAATTAATTTTTGTTGTTTTTTATTTTATTTAATAATTACAACTAAATTTTATTTTATTATTACAAACTAACATGTCGTTTACTTTTTTAAATTATCTTGATGAGCAATTATCTCAATTTAAAAATCTTGAAATTGGTACTCAAAAAACGTACAATCACTATGAACCTGACAAACCAAATATAAAGTTTTCAGAAACTGAAATAGTATCATCATCAAACTATTGGAATCCAAGTATTAGAAATATTGAAAACAATCATGACAGTAAAGTATACCAAGAAGTTGATGATGAACTAAATTATGAGGAAAACAATCCTTCAACTCCAACTAGTCTTTATGATTACATGAACTTTGAAGAAAACACTCCATCTGACCAAACTTCATCTTATTATCATTATCCCGTTTTTAAACTTAAATGTTTACATTTAGAAGACAATAGCAGCATTTCAGAAAAATCTTATTTGTCTCTATATGATGGTACTTATTTATTTTTATTTCTAATCATTTCTTTAATGTTTGTATTTATTAACAGTTAATTTATTAAAAACAACAGATTTTCAAGTGGTTAAAGGTAAAAATTACATTCATTAAAAAGCTATTTCGTATATTTTTACCTTTTTTAGACCAATTTCTCAGCATGTCACTGTTTGAAAAACGGCAGTTCTACAAATGCGGCTATAATTTCGTAACACTTGAGGAGATTCCCATTTGGTCATCAAACAGCAGTACTACTCCTGCAACAATTCAAACAAAAAAACTTTTTTTAAATTCAAATTTTAAAAAATCAGTAAATGAAAAAATTTCCCTATACACTGGCAGCATAGTAGCGCTGGAAATTGACGCCATCGTAAACACAACTAGCACAGCACTTGGAAATGGGCGAAACGGAGGTAAATGCAAAAACACACTGTTTTACCATATCTTTGTAACAGTTTTTTTCATTACTAAAACTACTGAATTTACTTTTACAAAAAAGTGGACGGCTGCATACACTTTGCTGCCGGGAAAAGGTACCTTGAAGCTGAATGTCAGCAGCTAGGTGGCTGTGAGCGGGGCAGCTGCAAAGTGACCGGCGGATATCGGCTGCCGGCTAAATGTAACACCATTTTTAAAGCTGAATACACTTTTTTTTGTTCCCTATCGTTTGATCATCTACATCTTTTTTTTACCCCGTCGTCTAGACATCATTCACTCTGTGGGACCAATTGGCGAGAATGCCGACCTTCTTTCCGCCTGCTACACCAACGCTCTGGACACACTAAAAGAGCACGGACTACGATCGATTGCATTTCCCACCATCTCCACCGGCACGTACGGCTACCCGAAGGAGAAGGCTGTCCCGGTGGTGCTGAAGGCGATTAGGCGGTGGCTGAAAACTTCGGACAACTTGGCCAGCATTGATCGCATCATCTTTGTGCGGTTCAGTTATCAGGACATTGCTCTCTACAATCAGTACATGCATAAATTTTTTCCGTTGTAATAATGTAGTGTATACTTATATTTTTATTTTTAATTGTCAGAACTAACACCCTGTTTTTATATTTAATTTAATGCAACTAATGATTTGAAAAAAACCAGATTTATTCTTAAAAATCAGTTTTAATGTTAGTTTTAAAAAACGATAATTTTATGGTCAAATGGTGCAACAATTTAATTTAGAATTTAGACAATCAAAAAAGGAAATCCGGAGTGTAGAGCAATGTTTGTTGTAAAGAAAATAGCCAATTTTTTTATTTTTAGTTTTTGATTTTACTTTTAAATTGCAACAAAATTTTATATCATTTCAAGCAACTATGTCTTCTACTTCTTTAAATTATCTTAATAAACAAAAATTACAACTTAAAAATCTTGAAATCAACACACACAAAACTTACAATCACTATGAGCTTGACAAACCTACTAACAAGTCATCAGAAAGTTTAGAGCTAGTAACATCATCAAACAGTCTAAATATAAATAATAAAGATTTTGAAAAAGATGATGACAGTGAAATATACCAGGAAATTGATATTGAACATGTTTGGGAAGAAACCGCCCCCTCAACGCCAACTAGTCTTTATGATTACATAAACTTTGACGATTACACACCATCGGACAAAACTTCATCTTACTATCATTATCCCGNCTCAACGCCAACTAGTCTTTATGATTACATAAACTTTGACGATTACACACCATCGGACAAAACTTCATCTTACTATCATTATCCCGTTTTTAAGCTTAAATGCCTACATTTAGATGACAATAGCAGCATTTCAAATAAATCCTATTTATCTCTTTACGATGGTACTTATTGCACATTGTGAAACAACAATTTTAATTTTGCTTTTGGTTTTCAGTTAATTTACTAAAAACAACTGATTTTCAAGTGGTTAAAGGTAAAAGCGTTACAGTTTTAGTAAAAAACAATTTAAATTTTTTTTACTTTTTTTCCAGACCAATTTCTCACCATGTCACTGTTTGAAAGACGGCAGTTCTACAAATGTGGCTACAACTTTATGACACTTGAGGAGATTCCCACTTGGTCATCAGGCAGCAGTATCACTACCACTACTGCTACAACTCAAACAAAACCCAAACTTCATTTAAATTCTAAATCAATGAACGACAAAATTTCTCTTTACACTGGCAATATAATAGGCCTGGAGATTGATGCCATTGTCAACTCCACAAACAATGCCCTCAGGAACGGCAGAAACGGAGGTAAATAAGCTCTGTAATGTACAAATTTTTACACCACATTTTCATATTATTTCACAACGAAATTTTCTCAATACACAGTAGACGGTTGCATACACTTTGCTGCCGGCGAGCGGTACCTCAAGGCGGAATGTAAAGCATTAGGCGGCTGTGAACGGGGCAACTGCAAGGTGACCGGCGGATATCGGCTGCCGGCTAAATGTAACACCATTTTTAAAGCTGTATACACTTTTTTTCGATCCTTATCGTTTGATCATCTGCATCTTCTTTTACCCCACCGTCTAGACATCATTCACTGTGTGGGTCCAATTGGCGAGAATGCCACCCTTCTTTCCGCTTGCTACACCAACGCTTTGGACACATTGAAAAATCACGGACTGCGATCAATTGCATTTCCGGCCATCTCCACCGGCACGTACGGCTACCCAAAGGAGAAGGCCGCCCCGGTGGTGCTGAAGGCGATTAGGCGGTGGCTGAAGAAGCCCGACAACCTGGCCAGCATTGACCGCATCATCTTGGTGCTCTTCCTCGATGTGGACACCTCGCTGTATACGCAGTACCTGCCAAAGTACTTTCCACGCTAAAAAGTGTAGTTGTCGATTTGCGTTTCTATTTACTGTCAAATTAAACAAACATAAAATAAATGCACTTTAAGTGTTTTTCGTTTAGAGAAAGAAGACACTGTAACTGAACGGAACAAAAAAACCAAACGAAAAATAGAGTTGTAGTTCAGGCTGACGATGCTGAAAAGGTGCACACCTAGGCTGTACAGCAGTCAAAATCACTTTAAAATCGTTATCATTCTAATTTTTAAAAATGTAAACAAGTTATTCCAGTACGATTCGGTTGCTTTTTTCCCCTTCTTTCGCACAGATGGCAGCAACAGTCTGCAAAATGGAAATCCCTGCGTGTGGGGCACTGGTGGCCACGGCAGGGCAGCGCTCACCTGTCCGACGGCGTTCACCTACAGCGTGACCAACACAGTGGCCTGCTTCTGCTCAGTCCACCACTGCCCCCGCCCCCTGTGCCAGTCACTTCACAGCAGCAGCAGCAGCAGCAGCAGCAGCAGCAGCAGCACAACAACAGAAGCAGAAGACAGACAGAAAGCGTGAGACAAGCAAGCAAGCAAGCAAACGCACGCTGGTGATCACGTTTTTTCTTTTCAGAATCCAGCTCAAGCTCGGCAGCCCGCCAGACCAGAGAAAAGCGAGACGAAGACAACGGACCACACTTTGCCATCTTTGCCAGTTTACTAGTGAGTTTAGTAGTGTGTGTGTCCTCACTGAGGAGAACTTTCAAGCACGAAAAGGAAAGAGTGGCAGATCTTTGCCGCAGATCACAGGTATGTTGTTGTTGTTATTCTCCCGTGTGGTTGCTTTTTATAATCTTAAAACTGTTTCTAATACTTTACCACCTAGTTCCTCCCTCTTTCTGAAGTCCATCACACGATTCCTCATCACCAAAGAAGTGATCACTCGCTACACACAGCATCCAAGTGATCACCCAGTGTAACCTGCACAACTACAACAAAGACAAACATCATCTTCTTCACCACTACTAGCACAGCCAACGCCAAACCAAACAGAATGCCGCCTCGACGACGGAAAAGAGCGGCCACTAGGGCAAGTCAGACACGAGCAGCAGCAGCAGCAGCAGCAGCCCTAGGAGTGCCCGTCAACCCCTTCGCAAACATGGCCACCGATCCGACCGTGCCCCGACTCTTCGGCAGCGCCCTCGTGCATACTGAGCGTAAGTTTCGTTTCTTTTCTCGTTTCAGCTCAATGATGTCAATTTAAAACAAAAAGCAAAAACACAAAGCCTACAAGTTCAATTCAATAGGCATAAGCACTCAACCTCTAAACAAAGCAAAACAAAACAAACACCTAACAAAACAAAACCTCTTTGTTGACTTTTTGCTCACTTTTTATTTTATTTTCCCCCTGCAGTGCCGAAGTTCATGCGAACCGCCAACCCTCGGAACATCCTCATCAAGGCGTCCTTCCTCCACCGGGGGCACCTGTACTGCTTCTACTTCGACTGCGCCCACACCACACTTCTCCTCGGCCGCCTGTGCACCTTCAGCCAGACCTGGGAGCCGGTGCCCTCCTTCGCCCTGAAGCTGAAGGCCGTCCACGAGACGGCCGCCTGCCACGCCGTGCCCCTGCCCTGGACGGTCCGCGAGGGGGGCGGCGGCGGCGACGCTCAGCTGTCGGTGCTGCTGCTGGTGAAGGACGCCGCCTACCTGCTAGTGGTCCGCCCCTGGCGGGCGGCCGACGAGGCGCAGGCGCAGGCGCATGCCACAATGCTGGGCCGCGACCCGGTGGAGGTGCAGGTGGCGGGCGACGGCGAGCCGCTCAGCCTCGCCTCGATGATCAGCCGGCCGGAGGATTGGGCGCCACAGGAGGACGAACTGGACACGCCCCTGGTCGACTGGCTGGCGGTGGCCGTGGAGCCGGCCACGCGCTCCCTCTACCTCCAGGTGGACATTCGCGTGGACAACTCCGGGGCCCGGCGGCAGATGGTGGTGGTGGAGCAGGAGGGGGAGCAGGAGGGCGAGTGGGAGC